GGGCAGTGCAGGGAACTTCAAAATCCCCAAATTTGGACAAAACCCTTCAATTGGCCAAATCTGGGGAATGTTTCATACCTTGAAGTGGAGCCTGAGCCATCAGAGCCCCCTCAGCATCTATTACTGCCCACCACCTAGAAACACAAAAACCAGAGCAAAGGAAACCTTTTAATTGTAATTTACTTTATTATTTTGTAAATGTGAATTTTACAAAGCGTTTTACAATTAATGATCACATTGGGTTGGTTTTTTTTGTTTTTGTTTTTTTTTTTAAATGGATTTTTTCATCATATGAAAACAGCTATGAGCACAGTTCCAGCTCGGGGGCAGGGGGGTCTTCATGTTTTCTCTCTCTCTCTCTTTTTTTTTTGTTTTAGTTACTGATATATCGTGTCAGCCATGGCTACAAAATAACAGTCTGAACTATACAGAGTAAGAGCACATAAATACTAGTGAATAATGCACGGTAAAAAATAAAATAAAATAAAATAAAATAAAAAAAAAGAAGCTAGCATCGTTCGTGGCTGAGACAGTTGAGGAACATAATTCAGTGGTACTGTGAGATTTCCTTACAGCACAGAAAGTATTTTTAACAGTCATGAATTACAGTACTACTTAATACCCTATGAAGACGCTTTAAAAACAACCTTGTACTTTAAGTCCTTTTTTTTCCCCAAACATTCTGTCCAAAGGATTAATGTTCTATTTGAATCAAGTGCCATCCAAATGTTCAAGTCAAAAATATTTATACATTTATACTCAGTTGTTTTTTATTATTTATTAATTATTTCATTTACTTTTTTTTCTTTATTCTTGTCTGCTAAAAATAGTATTGCAAGTTTTGGCTTTTTTTTTTTTATTATTTATTATAACCTTGACATAAAAATCACGATTTTTTTCTTTTTTTTTTTTTTATTTTTTTTAATTTTTGTGTGTGTGCAAAACGCTTTTAAACAGTGGAAGAAACTGGAGGAGGAGTGGAGGGGTTTCCAATGTGAGTGTGTCCCACTCGCCCCCCTGGCTCGCTCCCAGCACGGTTTGGAGAGCAGGAACACTTGGAACAGCAGTTGAATCCCGGGATGGCCACGGGGGCTGCGGGGACAGCTGGGGACACTCTGGGGACACTCCGGGCTCACCCCGGCTTCCCACGGCTCCTTCTCCATTCGCAGCCAGCGATTTCCAGCAAAACGAGAGCTCTGAGCACAGCCCCGGGGCACAGGGATGGGGACAGGGCTGGGGACAGGGACGGGGACAGAGATGGGGGAGAGGGATGGGGACAGGAATGGGGACAGGGATGGGGGACAGGGACGGGGGACAGGGATGGGGGACAGGGCTGGGGACAGGGATGGGGACAGGGACGGGGGACAGGGATGGGGGACAGGGCTGGGGACAGGAATGGGGGACAGGAATGGGGGACAGGAATGGGGGACAGGAATGGGGACAGGGATGGGGGACAGGGATGGGGGACAGGGATGGGGGACAAGGATGGGGGACAAGGATGGGGACAGCCCCGAGGGACAGGGATGGGGACAGCCCCGAGGGACAGGGCTGGGGACAGCCCTGGGGACACCACCGAGGGCTCTGCTCCCCAAAGGCCGCGGGCAGTTCCAGTTTTGGGGCGCTGCGGGGCTCGGAGCCCGCGGTTCCCAGCCCGACGCCCCGGGAATCCCCAGGGAATTCCCAGCCCCGAGGAGCCGCTCCAGCTGCTGCCCTCCCGCCGGGAAAGGCCGGGAATGTCACCGTGTCACCGTGCGCCAGCCAGCGGGGGTGGCGGAGGGAGGGAGGGAGGGTCATGCAGCCCCTCGGCTGTGCAAAGCGGTGTTTAATTAGCGCTAACGAGGAGGAGAGGAGCTGGTCCTAGGCTACGGCAGCTGCGGGGAACTCGGGTGCTTTTACACTCTGCGCTCGTTAAAGGTGCTTGGTATAACTTTAGATATAGAATATACAGGTAATATTGCTAATAGTCAAGCATAAGAATAAAGGTGCAGACATACCATAAATACTGATGCTCTGATTTTACACTGTCAGACCTAGATGAATGCAGTTTCCTATTCACATTATAAAGCAGCCCCAAAATTCTAGAATTTAAAATAGTGTCGTAAACAAAGAGGAGGAAGGAGTCGGTTATGATCTGATCTTCTTAATCTGTTTTCCTTGGAAAAAAAATGATCAAAAAATTCTAAGGCACTCAGGAAAGCCGCATACAATCGATGGACTGCTCTGTTCTCACCTTACATTCAGTTTTAAGGGGTTATTTTTTTTTTGCTTTTTTTTTTGTTGTTTTTTTTTCTCGGAAGAATACAATCATTACCATATAACATTTTCAAACATATCATTAATCCTCCACACACAGGAAACATTAGTGCAAAATGCTTGCCCTCATCTACCAGATAAGGAAAAACCCAACGCCCTTCACATTTTAGAAGTTTGCCTTCCTAATAATAATAATAATAATAATTAATAAAACAAACCCAAATCAGGAAAAAAAAAAAGGAAATGAAAGGAAAAAAAAAAAAAAAGAAAGAAAAAACCCCAAAATATACAGGAAGTTGTGCTAGGTATAAAAATATATATTTTCACTGTGCAACTTGACTCTCTCCAGACTCTCTGTCCTAAGCCATTCAAGTACTTTGCTGCTGCCCCCCTGGTGGCCCCCCTGGCTGTCTGGGAACAGGTTTGGTCCAGAATTAATCCCTCCAGCCAAGTGCAGCCCCCAGCTGGGGGGCTCAGGCTGCTCCCCACCCCCAGCAAGTGCCAAAAAGGAGGAGGAGGAGGAGGAATCCTCTGCAATATCTTTTCTCTCTATATTTATATTTATATATATGCACACAGACACACACACAAGGGACGACTTTTGATCTCCGGCACCCGGAGCCGCTCCCAGCTTGCCTCAAACTTTTGGCAAACCCAAAGATTTGGGGATCAGGAGGGTCCTCAGCCAAACCTGAGCCCCACCAAGCTGGCTGAGCTGCCCTCCAGCAGCTGTCCCCAGGGCACAGGAATTGCTCCACGTCCCCAGGGATGGCTGGGGACAAACCCCCCGAGCTCAGCCCGTGGTCCCCAGGGTTGTTCAGTGACGTGGGTAAAGTGCAAATAGAGCCGTGCCCATTCCCACTTCTCTGAAGCATCCCACACCTCTGCACCTGCACCAGCCCCCAAAACCTGGTCTGGGGCGTCACAGTCCCCCCCAAAAAGCTGTGCCAAATCCCAGCGTGGGGCAGGACTCCCCCATCACTGATTTGTTGTGTCAGGAGCAGTGGCACAGGCTGGGCAGCCTCGTTATTTACGATGCAAAAAAACTGCTTCAAGTATCAAAGAAAACAAAACAAATGGCCAAAAGTTGGGTTATCCTCTCCCCACTCCCCCTTTCCCAATGGAAATACAAAGAAGGAAGAAAACCCTGAGCAAAGCACTGTCTGGATTAGGGAATCAAAGCAGGAAAGAAAAGAGGAGCACAGCCACAGCAGCCTAAAAGTGACTCTTTGTGCACCTTGTTCCTCGTCCCCAACGCGTTAGAGAACAAGCTGCAAGTGTCATTAAAGCAGGTCGTTAAATCATCATCGTTAAATCAGTAAAAATAATCATCATTAAAAAAGGAAAGGAAAAAAAGGAAAAAGCCAAACTTGGCATTACTGTTCCTGTCCCCATCCCCTGGGGGCACCCCAGCAGTGCCATCCCCGTGGGACCCCCAGCACTCGGGGGAAGCTGCAGGGTCCCCTTGGACGGACTCTGCTCACTCTGGGGTTTGGAAAGGGGAGGGACAGAGCAGGTACCTGCTGCCCATCGGGCTCCAGGGACACCCACAAGTCCCATCCCGAGGCCACCAAAGCCACCACAGCCTGGGGACATCAGCCTGCAACAAGAAAAATAAAGACAAATAACTCCACATCGGGTTTTCCCCAGAAGGGGCAGCGGGAGGGTGGGCAGGAGGCAAAGCGCTTCCTCCTGCCCAAAACCTCTTCACAGAAGGGCTCAAAGCTCATTTTTTCTTTTAATTTTTGCTTCCAATACACTCCATATTATTAAAAAGTGAGAGCCTGGTTGGCCTGGGGAGGAGGGAGGGGCAGAGGGTGAGCTCTGCACGCACTGAGCTCTGCCTCTGGTGGGGATGCTGCCAGGAGCCAACACCAAGAGCTCCTGACTCCATGCCCTTTGGAGCAAGAACAACGTGCTCTCCATGCTCAGATCCCTCCCTGAATCCCTTCACAGGCTGAGGGGGGGCCCAGTGGGTGCCCCTGGACCTGCACACCCTGGGGTGCTGAGGGGTGACAGAGCCCGAGCCCCCCGGAGCGGGGACGTGAAGGTGCAAACACGGAGAAGCAAAGGAATAGGAGAGGCTGGGAGGGAGGAAGGGAGGAGGGAGAGAGAAACCAAACCCAAACCCAGCCATATTGGGCAAAAACCAGACCACAACCACAACGGCAGCCAGGCTCTCCACCTGCATCCCACACAGTCCTCCCGACACGTGCCAGCCTGAACTCCCACAGCACCATCCCTGCCCCAGGGGGCTGCAGGAACCTCCCTGCGACAGCAGCACCCACGGCCAGGGCTCCCCCTGCCTCCAGAGGGGTCTGGCCACAATTTCACTGCCACGATTTCCCCCAGCCCATCCCACTTGGCTCGAGCCCTTCCCGAGACAAACGCGGCCAGTCACAGCACCTGCACCCGAACACGCCTCGCTTTCCTGTTCAGTGACAAAACTCTCCTTAGAGGACAAGGTTAACGATGGCTTTACTTCTGAGCTGAGTGATGGATGGGGTGATGACGGGGTGGTGGTGGGTGGGGGGTGGCTAGCTTTTCTCCTCCCCTTCTTAAAACAAACAAACAAAAAAAGAAAAAACCAAAAAAAAAACCAAAAAAAAAAAAAAGGAAAGGAAAGGAAAAAAAAAAAGAAAAAGCTACAATCTTATAGACTAACCTCAGGAATATCAAAAAAGGAGCCCAATATTTTTTTAAGTAGGTCGCCACAGACCTAGTCGTTTACAGTATAACGAATGCGATTATTTCCTTCATAAATTTTAAATACAAGCAGAATAAAAATCACATTTTTTTCAGGCAACAGTAGCAGTTCAGTAGGTAAGTGGCTTGATCACATTTTTTTTTTGTTTCGTATTAGTAATGCATGCAAGCAGCTTTAGTATTACAGATCCCTTATAGGTCATGAAATGTTTGCTCTCTTTATAAAGTCCCTCCATAAGTACCATCCTGTCTCCTCACGGGGGTCTCGGGCCGGCTGGAGGAGCCCGAGCCTTGCTCGAAGGGTTGGGGGGTGCTTTGGGTTTCTGACGCCACAGCCTCCGTGGCAGCTGCCTCCTGGATCACAGAGCCGCTGCCCTCGGCGTCCTCGCCCTGCTCGAAGGACTGGCTGGACCCGTTGCTGAGCTCCACGTTCACCGTGCTAGTTCTCAGGGCTACGATAGTCCCCGCCTCGCTCCTCCTCTCTGCATAGATGCGCTGCTCGAAGGGCTGGGCCGCGCCAGGCTGGAAGTCGGGCTCCAGGGGGACAGTGTTTGTGGAGGAGCCCATGACGCTGCGGTACATCTCCATCCCCTCGGGCAGCATGGACTTGATCTTGGGCAGCCAGCGCTTGCGCACGCGCCGCGCGTTGGTGCACATGTCGGCCGCGATCACGTTCATCTCGCTCTCCTTAAAGCTCGGGGCAAAGTTCTGACAGTACACTGCAAAAACAGGGAGACACGGGGCTCAGCCTTCACGGGGAGGGACACAGAGGTGAGCCCGGACTCCCAGGAGGGAGCAGAGCTTCACCCACAGGCCTGAGCTCTCCACACAGACAGAGCTCCTCAGCTGGAGACAACCAGGAAGGCATGAACAAGAAGGAACAACCAAGAAGGGACAACCAGGAAGGGACAACCAGGAAGGCATGAACAAGAAGAAACAACCAGGAAGGGACAACCAGGAAGGGACAACCAGGAAGGTATGACCAAGAAGGACCAGGAAGGTATGAACAAGAAGGGACAACCAGGAAGGTATGAACAAGAAGGGACACAATCAAGAAGGTATGAACACCCCAGAAGGGCCCCTGTCGCAGACATGTTTTATGAAAAATCCTTTTGCTAGCATCTTTTCTCCTGAGAAGCTGAGAGGCCTCAGAAACGAAATGTAAGCAATGGTTATCTGCTGCTGTGGAATGCAACAGGTGGATCTGGGATTGGTCTCATGTGGTTGTTTCTAATTAATGGCCAATCACAGTCTGGCCGTCTCAGACTCTCTGGTCAGTCACAAGATTTTATTATCATTCCATTCCTTTCCTTTCCTTGCTAGCCTTCTGTGATATCCTTTCTTCTATTCTTTAGTATAGTTCCAATATATCATTTTAATATAATATATATCATAAAATAATAAATCAGCCTTTGAAACATGGAGTCAGATCCTCATCTCTTCCCTTATCCTGGGACCCCTGCAAACACCACCACAGGCCCCTCACTGCATGGAGACCCCCACAGCCACAGGGGATGGCCAAACCAGAGGTGGACACACAAAAGATCCCACAAACTCCCCGTTAATGGCTCCTAAACCCCCAGTGCTGCAGGAAATGTCAGGAGCTGAGGGGCTGCCCCAGGGATTGCCCTCTGCCTGTCCCTCTCCTCACACCACCCCTGCGTGGCCCTGGCTGCTCCAGCACCCATCCCTGTGCTGGCACGAGCCCTGGGAGCTGCAGGAGCCCTGCAATCCCTCGTGCCCTGCTCCTCTGCAGGAGCCAAGCACCTGATGTTATGGAGCAGCATCCAAGGAAAACTGCCATGGTGAACAACTGTCAGCTAAAGCTCCTGCACAGGGACAAATCCAGGCAGGAGGAACCCACCCCATATCCTGGCACACAGCACCAATGCCCTTGCAGCCCCCCTCATGGCTGCAAAGTCCAGAGTTGGGACTCTGCAGGATAAAACTGCCAACAGGGAGCTGGCTCCACCATCTTCAACCACATTACTGAACATCTGCCCTCTTCTCCCTTTCCCCCTGATGCCACAGATCTCCCAGGGCAGCTGGAAGGCCCCTGCACTTTACAATTAGGGAGGGGAAAGATTTCTCTTCCAAATCTTAAAAAACGAAATGAAAAAAAACTGCTTAAGAGTTTTGTTCTCCAGCACAGTAATATTTACACATAGATTTACTCCCCAGAATTCAACCAGGGTGAGAGAACACAGTGATTCCCACTGCATATGAAGTCCATGGCAAATAGATTTTTCTGACCCCTTCAGGATTTTCTCCAGCACCTCCTGTCCCAAAACACTACAGATGACTGAGGGAGAAGTGGCTGGTGGAGAGCAGATTCCACCCACAGCTTCTCTGGGCAACCAAAATGACATAAACTAAAAAATAAATTGATTTTCCTACAACCGAATTCCACCATTACCACACAACAGCGTGCCCTCCCCTGGCAAGGGCTGGGCCATGCTGTCCCACCCCAGCAGCAGAACACCCCTCTCCTTACATTTGACTGCATTGAGGACCCTGCTGTCCAAGGGCTTCCTGCTGGGATCGCTCGTGGAGGACCTGATTCCAGTTCCACAGCTGTTGGCAAGAGTGTTCCTGTGGGGAGGCAAAGGATATAATATAATATATATCAGAAAATAATAAATCAGCTTTCTGATTTATATTTATAAGGGACATCCTGGGAGAGGGGACCAGGGGACAGCCACTCCCTGCCCTGCTCCCTCCAGGTCCTGCTGGAGGCATCACCAGGATTTTAAGCTGAGGGATGGGAAAATGTGCATGGAAATGGAATAAAGTTCTCAAGCATCACTAAGAAAATGCACAGAGCTGAGTGCAGAGGAGGAGGCCCTCCTGACCCAGGGTTAAACCCCTGGGAGGTGAAGGGAACAGGGAAGGGACCCCTTGGCAGAGCACGAGGAGCAGCAGGACAGGACAGGACAGGACAGGACAGGACAGGACAGGACCTACCGATCGAAGAAGGTGGCCAGGAGACGTCTGAGCAGGACCTTGTGTTTGACACCAGCACATAAATGGCAATTCATCAGCTGGCCCCGGGTGATGTAAACACCTGAGCCTGCAAGGGGGAGAGGGAAATCCAGAATGAGCCCCTGACACAGCCACAGAGCCACCCCTGAGGCACCCACAGCTCCTCCTCGCTGGTGGGAGCCTCCTCTTCACCTGCTGCAACAAGGACAGAGGGGTTTCTGGAGAATCCTGACAGATCCTTGGGGCCTTGGTGAGTCCCAGGCAATAACAACTCCTAATTTTATCTGTACAGACAGAAAGTCTATGGGAATCAAATGAAAGGGTTCTTATTTTCTCACGAATGCACACTGTGCAAGGCTTACACTGTGATTTGATATGTACAGATCAGATTATTTATTTTTTCTGAAGCAAGAAAACCCCAATCCATTTGGCCTTTTCTTTTTTTTTTTCTTTTTTTTTTTTTTTTCCAGTGCAAGACTGTAGAACACAGAGCTGGAAATGAAAGAAAAAAACCCATCTAGCACAGAAAGAGGTACTTGGTTACAGATCTAACTGCTTCCAAAACCCCAGCCCATCACCTCTTGATACCTCTGGTGAGCAGGGAATTTTCCTTCTAATGCACAGCAACTGCTGCCTTTGAAGCTGCTGCCTTTAAGGATGTTTTCTGGAAGAAAAAGGAACCCTGTGCAAAGCAGCTGGACATGTCCAGAGGTCTGGCAGTACTTTACAGCAGGTTTTATATCAAACCTTTTTACTCTGCTCACACACCAACCTGCTCCTGCCTCAGCACTGCTTCCAGGGAGAGGTTATCCCATTTTTCAAGCATTCTCTTACATGAGAGGGTTTTGGTATTTGCTTTTAATTAAGATTAAATAATGGGTCATAGCTGGATCCAGAACACGCTCTGTTCTCAAGATATAAAACCATCTGCTAGAGCAGTACCATTTCCTCCTGGATTTCCAGGGAAGGGGATTGTCCCTGACCTTGTGGATGGAGCTGGAGCTCAGGGCAGCCCCTGGGCTGCACCAGAGGCACCCCAGGACCCCGATCCTGCCCCAGGATCCAGCACCCCTCTGCATCTCTGAGCCATGCCACCTCTCACCAGGAATCCTCCTCGTGTTCTCTTCCATCTAATGAGGGCTTTTGTTTTGTTTTGTTGTTTTTTTTTCTTAATAACAGCCTCAGCCCCTCCCTCAGATGTGCTGTGGTGACTGCAAGCCTTGTTAAAGACCCTTTTTCAGAGAGGGCTGCTCGAGTTTGCTGAATCAACTGTAGCATGAAAAACCAGAAACAAAAGGAAAACACTCCCACTTGGAGAGTTGAGGAAAACTTTCACAGCAGGATCAAGCCCCCCCTCCAGGTCTGAGACAGGAATTAGGGGAGTTTATTTTGTATTTTAAGAGATAAGGCATCAGAGCAAACACCAGCCACCACTGAGGGGAACTTCACTTTAATAAATGAAAAATAACCAGGCAGCCACTATCGGTTAGTGATATTAATCTGCTTTTTTCCAGATTGAAAAATGAAAATCAAGCAGAGTTGCCTCAAACCAATTTGCAGCTCTCACTGTGAAAATAACCTGCACCACTTGATGGTTTTAAGAAGTCTCACATTAAATGGAAATGGGTACAAAATGAATATTCCAGATCCAAAATAAATACTTGTGGTTGTACGCTGTGCTTTGCCTTCCATCAAAGTCCTGTCCTCCATCAGCTGCAAACCTTTGTGGGCATCCCCTGAAATCCTGACTCCTTCTCCAGAATGAAAATGAAATCATGCTACTCACCAAGAGACAAATGACTGGAAGGGAAGAAGAACTGATTTGGATGGGCTGTGCTGCCACATGTCCCTTTTGGACCAAGGGCTTTGCAGGGATTAATTAAACCTCCCCACCTGGGGGCACGTCTGGGATGCCCTGCCCAGTCATCCCCACACAGCCACATCCAAGGCAAAAACCCACAGCCAAGCTACTGCAAAGTAAAGCTGGGGGGAGCTTCTAAAAGCAGAATAGGATTATTATGATTATTTCCACTGGAATTCCACCTGGTCACTCCAGTTAAACACTTTCTGTGCAATGCTGGGTGTGCCTGGGCTGGCACAACCACCTGGTTTCACTCCTCCAGCTCTACATTCTCTAACATCTTCCACCTCACACTGGCCAGAAATCTTTTCTAGAGAAGGAGTAAATTCTCTCAGTATTGTAAATTCCCCCCAAAATGAAAATAAAGACAGAAGAAAGGACCAAACCCAATTCCTTCTCCTCCTGCTGCAGCGTTTGACCACTTAGTAAATTTATAAAGAAATTTTACAGGTTTTTCAAAGCTTGTTCATTGACACAGATTTTATCTCCCTTGCTTTGTAAATCTTACAATGTGGCAATTTTTGAGGGGGGGGGGGCTGTTGGGTTTTTAGATCTGTGATTCTAAATGAAAACACACTCACTGCAGCCACACCGAGCAGGAAGAACACAAGCTGCAGAATTCAATTAAAATGCTAAATTAATTCAATTGAATAAATCCTGTTAATGACACATTTTTTCTGTCAGCAAATTAAAGGAAACTCGGAACTCTCCAAAAGACCATTGGTGACGAAGAATCCAGAAAGACACAGCAAGGGCACACAAGATATGGAGAGCACAACTCCAGAAGGGAAACAGCAGCCATCCAGAGGCATTCCAAGGAAAATCTACCTGCAACCAGCTCGAGCTTCTCGCCAGGGTCCCCCTCGGAGTAGAGCTTTGGGTGGCAGCGGTAGCCGATCTGGCTGATGAGGCTGGCAGGGAGCGCCACCAGGTCCCGCCGGATCAGCACACAGGAGCGGTTCTCCAGAGGGATCTGCTCTGCCTTCTCCTGAGCAACTTCAAAGTGAAAAGGGAAAGCTGTTAAAGGAACTTGTCATGACGCTGACGAGGAGCTCAGGTCTGACTTCTTCACGCAGCGGTTGGGAATATTCCCCCCCTCCAGACGTCCAGCCATGGGGCAGGTGCCACCTGAAAGCTTGGGAAAATCCCCTGGTCTCCCCCTCCACAGCAGCCTCAGGTTCTGCAAAAGGGATCCTCAGAGTCTAATTATGCTTTAACGTCTCCTGAGTCAACAATTTGTGAAAATGGACAGCTCTGTATGGCTGACATCACTCTGCACTCGGAGCTGCTGCCCCACACACCCCAGAAGGTGGCAGGAATTTCACCAGGGGTTCTAAACAAGCAGTGAATTGCCCCAGTTTGATGAACACCTGCAGCAGTTCCATCATTACTTCCCTTGATGGTTTTCCCTGCTGAAGTTAAAATCCAGACCCTGCAGACACCTCTGCTCTGAGGAAGGTCAGCAGAGCCTCTCTGTGCACCCACCAGCCACCTCCAGCCCACCTTCCCTTCCTCTGCCTTCTGCAGGCCAGCTTTCCCTCTCAGTAACAAAAAGAAGCCCCCATCAACAAGGCAAAAAATGTTATTAAGGTGTAGCTTAAAAAAAAATACCAAAATAAAAACCAAAACACCAGATTTTCCCAACCTGCTCTGATGCACCATCTCCCGAGCCCACCACTGTCCAGGAGCGAGCAGTAACATGGAAAAGCTGGAAATACTGGGCTGTCCTGCCAGCACCTCCAAACCTGGGCATTGTGGGCACACAGAGGATTGGTTTGTAAAGCACATTTACAGTCCAAGACCACCAGATAGCTTAAAATGACAATTTTTGACAGCAATGAGGGCTGACCATGCACATCAACCTCAGGACACAGTGGAAGCAGCTCCAGGGCTGAACTGCAGCCCAGCTCTGCCATGATCCACCTTTTTTCCCCCAAAAACTGTTTGATAACGTGGCAAGTGCCAGGTACAAACCCAAACCCAGCCCTGTGCTCGAAACCTGTCAACACTGAGAGAAGCAGAAACCCCAGCAAGGAGCATTTCCGAACTCAAAACCTGCTCCAGAGGTGTCTTTTCCTGCAATTATCCCCGAGTTCTGGGTTGGCTTTTCCTCCCTGCAGATAAAATAACAAGTTTTGCAGAGTTGCTGCTCAGTAACCCAGGGTGATGGCTCGGGGACAAAGGGAGCAGTGTTCTGCTCTAAGTAGGACATGGCCACGGTGCCCTGCTGGGCTGGGGCATCCCAGGGAGGCTCTGGGGGCATCCCCACCCTCAGGACATGGGCTGGATGGCTCCCTCTGGCCCTGAGGAATGCCAGGAGGGGTTCTGGAATGGCAGGAGGACGGTCCCTGCTCAGGGAGACAGACTCAACAGCAGCAGAACGACTCACAGGGTGTTTTTAAACCCTTTGTGCCATCGCAGCCCCATCATCAGTGGGAAATCTGTGCCATTGACGTTCCCAGCTGCAATATTCCCTGCATTCCCAAGCATCCAGAGCCCAGATCCAGCTGCAGATGGGGGTCAGCTCCCACTGAGGGAGAATCTCAAAGACCAGCTCTGTTTTGAGGCTTTTAAAGAGTGATAAGCAAACCATATCCCATAAAATACTGATATTTTCCAGCTCAAAGAAACCAAAAAAAGCAAAGGGACAGTGGGAGGAACCAGTCCTGCTCTGCTGTCCTTCCCAGGCAAGGCAGGGCCACCAGGGCAGCTCCAGGGGAAGAAGGGACACCTCAGTCATCTCCCAGAGGCAAAACTTTACTCAGAGGTAAAATTAAATATACAACCCCTAGGAGCTGTATATGTGACCTACACAATTCCACCCCAGCACAGGGCTCTGCCCAGGTTATTAAAAATTACTAAAAATTATTAAAAATTGAATTTTTAATATTTCATTTTTTACTCTAACCAATGGCTCAGGTCGAAAGGACCCACAATATCCATCAGCACCATACTTCATAAACCAAACTAAAATTCAGCTAAAAAGACCAAGTGCAGTTCAACCCACTGCTGGGTTTTGGTTACATCTGTCCTGCTGGCTCACTGTCTACAAATCTCTTATTAAACACAGCCATGAATCATTTTGGGGGCTTTGTTTCCATTCAAACATTAGCAGAAAATAATGATACCAAACAAAAAGAGGTTTGGGGCTTTCAGTGGCACCTCCATTGAGCAGATAGCAATCAGTTATGTAAAGGAGCAGGACACAAGAGCCACTTTGGTGCCATGTTTCCACAGAAAGCCACTCTGTTTGGCCTTTCTGCTCCAGAGAACAGGAGAGCATTTGCTTCTAATTAATTTGTATCTTCAGAGGGCAGCGGCTCCTTCCCTTTGAATGAAAGGGCAAACAATGGGAAGTATTGTTAAATACAGTTTTGTTCCTGAACAAGAAAGGAGCTCCCAGCCAGCAGAGAGGGGCAGGAAATCATTACAGAGGAAGCCACCAGAGCTGCCAGCCAAACACTGGAATATTTGATTTATTTGGATATATGCTTTTATCCCAAACTTAGCTGGAGGCTGCAGCTGCAACAGGTGGTGCAGAATGGGAAAAATCCCATTTTCCTGGATTTTTCTGGCTGAAGAAACAGCCTCAAACTCACTCACTGGTCCATGCTCCATGGCTCCAGGCCCTGCATGATGTTGGGGCTCGTGTTCTCATCCCTAAAACAAACTCCAGAGGTCCCTCACAGCCCCTTGGTGCTGAGCCCATGAGGGTTGGGTGACATTGGGATTTCTGCATGTCCCACCTGAGCTTTGCTGGGGATGGGCTGCTCAGGTGAGTGATTGGGAATTGCTGGACACACACCCAGCCCCAGCACTCACTCATCTCCTTACTTCCTGACAGCAGGGCTTCAAAATGAGTCATAAAGCTCCAATTCCCACCAGTTTGGGTTCTCCAAACTGCACGTAAACATCAAGGTGCTCCTGTGGGTAAGAAACAACTGCTGCTGGTTTAGGAATGGGATGTGGAGATACAGAAAGATCAGAGTGGTAGAGCCTCACCCAAAAACTGATCCTTACAGAGTCCCAACATGCAACCACAGATCTCAAGCCCTGAATAAAAGGCTGGAGATCCCATCTCCACCTGCTTCACCACGGATGCAAACATGTGGATGATCCTCTCTATACACAGCCAGAAGTCTCTTTTCAAACAGCAATATTTTACCATCTCTCTCCCATCAGCCTATTTTCCACTGGCAGTGGGACCACCTCAAAAATATCTTCCCTCCACAGCCTCAGCATCCCCAGCATCTGCTGCAGATGTAAACCTGGAGCAGAGGACACACGCAAGCACCCTGGGATAGATCCATCACAGAGTCCCAACGGGGAGAGTTTACATTTCCCAAATAGTACATTTATACCAACGTACTGAAATGTAGCCTTTGATTTGTGACCTATTTATACAGGGAGGTAATCTGGAATTAGTATAGGAAAAATATTACTGGTTTATAAATACCCCTATCTTGCCTTCGCCTCAGATCTCAGCCAGGAGTGAAACATCTGCCAGCCTAAAATTAAACATCTGTGGTTCAGAGGGAGGAAAATGGGGCTGGAAGTTTAATGCCAAAAAAGGCCAGAGGCTGACTGCCCCCAGCCTGGGGCTCAGCTCTGACCGTGCCAGGGTCAGGATGGGGCACTGCCACCACACAGCCACTCAGCCTGGAAAAGACCTCCAAGACCACCAAGTCCAACCTGTGATCAGTGCCCACCTTGTCCCATGAACACACACAGCCAGGCTTTCAGCAGTCTGCAGGTGTCTGAATCCCTCTGCAAAAGCCAAAGTGCTCTGGTGGATAACCGGCGCAGTCCTCGACCGCTCCATTCCCTAAAAATCCATGAACTGTTTGCTGCTGAGCATCCTCCCTGTACACAGGCTGGTCCCACGGGAGCAGGGGGAGCTGGCAGGAGCAGGGGCTGTCCCTGCAGTGGCAGCCAGCTGCTCCATCCCACTGCAATTCCTGTTGTGGCTGCCGTGGTTTGTGATTTACGGGGCTGCAGCGCGCCGTGCCCGGCTCCGCTCGGGATGCTGCACGGGCTGCACCATTTGGGATTCTGTTCCTTGCCCTCTTTCCTTACTGTCAGGAATCAGAGGCCAGGAGAGAAAACTATTCTCTCAGCTAATTACCACAACTATTCTATAATGGCTATTTTAGATGAATTTTTAATGAAGTGTGCTCTTGTCAGTTCAGGATTTCATAACTTTCAAGTCCAGCCTTTACATTCCAGCCATTTGCTGCATCAAGATTTTTCCCTTTTCCCTGCAAACCGGTGCAGCAGGAGCAGGGGAGGAGGACGGACCCTTGCACAACTTCTCTGGTGCCTGTCAAAATTAAATTAACTGCATCTGCTCAGCAGAGAGCTGACTGACAAGAACGTGGCTCAGCGCAGAAAAGCGCCGAGCATCTGCAAGTCCTGCTGAAACCCACTTCAGCTCAGGCCCACGACGCTGTAATTAACAGGGATAAAAATACTTTGCTTTTGTTTAATGTTTTCTGGAGTTGTGCGTTCCTCAGATCAGATGCTGGAAACCTCATTAAGTCTCGCTCGTGTCCTCGAGGCCCACATGTTCTCCACACCCAGACCTAGTTCTGGAGTCAGGAGCCATTTTACCGCAGTGCTCCCAGCCTGGCACGGCAAACGTGGCCACCAAACCTGGGGGGGAAACTGAGGCAGCTTTTCCTACCCCCCTCTGGCAGCTGCCACCCTGCCTGCCAACACCTAAGCCTGACCCTCCTGTGTTTAATCCTGGCCTCATGCTGCTGCTCCTTCTGCAGGTCCAACACTCGTCCTGGTCCCTCACAGCAGTGCCACCGCTGCAGGTGGCACCAGCCTCTTCTCCCAGGGTTCCTCCGAGAGGAAACAGCCTCAAAACTGTGCCAGAAAAGGTTCAGATTGGACTTCAGGAGGAATTTCTTCATGGAAAAGGTGTTCAGGCATTGGAAGGAGATGCCCAGGGAGGTTCTGGAGTCCCCATCCCTGGAGGTGCCCAAGGAACAACTGGATGTAACGCCCAGTGCTCCTGGTGGTGTTTGGTCAAAGTTTGATCTTGGAGGCCTTTTCCAACCTTCACGATCCTGTGATTTTGAGATGTGGATCTGATCCAGCTTTGGAAATTCAGAATGCCTCTGACTACAAAAAGGGGTGAAGAAAATAAATTAAAAACCCCCAGCCTTGGGTCAAGGATTGGTGACCCCCTCCCAAGGGTGGTGGGTGATGCTGAAGGCAGGTGAGGAGCATCAGCCACCAGTGTCCCACCACACCTTCACCAGCACCAACACTTCAGATGGGGAACAAAAAAGCCCAGAAAAAGAAGGAAAAAAAAATCCAGCAACCCTCTCTGAAATTCAGAGCTTCGTCTGCTCTGCTCCTCTTTGGCTTTGTTTTTGTTTTCACAAACAGGGCTCTTGGAAACCTTGGCAATGCCTGGTTTAAAGGGCTCCCCCTCCCCCAGGGCTTTGTGAGGCTGTGGGATCTCCATGCCAGGAGCAGGATTAGCTGCCTTCTCTCTTCCATCTCACAGTTTCATTATTCTGCACCTTTTGAGAGGGTACAGTTTATCCTGAGTAATTAAAACACAGTTAGCTCTACAAGTCCAAACCATAATGGAACAGCTTAGGTTTTACTTTTTGTAATCTGTCTTTTGCATGCCCTCTTTTCCAGGAAGCCTGATACCTATAGCTGCCTTATTTCAAACAGGAAACTCCCCTGAAAGGTGCGGGTGGGGAAGAGGAATTTCAGCAGAAATGTGGGATATTTAGAGCCTTACAACCTGCCTCTTCCCTGCATGGCCTCAGCATCACCACCTGCAGAAAACAAGCAGGAAAACTTGGCTGTGGGATGCCCAGCCCTGGCACAAAGGCTGCAGCATCTCCAGTGACACCTGAGAAAGCTGCTCAGATTTTCACTTTTCCAGCTGGGATGATTCCTGCCCAGCATGGATTAGGGACAGCCTCAGAGCTGCTGCCTCCACCATCCCCAGGCTGGTCCTGTCCTTGCCTTCTGAGCTGGTTTTGTTCTGTTCCTGCAGGAACTGGCCCCGTGACAGGGATGGAAAACACACTCCAAGGGCATGATCCCACTGCTCTGAGGAATAACTGAGGGCAAACCCACATTGCTCACCACAGGTTCTACAGCGGGAAAAGCAAAATAAACCCAAAACAAGTGAGCAACAGCAAAATTCCTGTTCAGTCTGACTCCAACAGCAGCCATGGAGGAGACCCTGACCTTGTCCCACCCCTGATCCCACTCCTCTCCTGCCCCATCCCAACCACTGGAACCTGAAGCAGGACAGGGAGAGTACTCAGGCTTTTGAGGTTCACTTCCTACATCTCCTTGTCCACTTCTCTTAACAAATATTTCTAATATTAAAATAGTGAATTTGCCGTTTCCCCCTTTTTCATATGACTTAGTAAAAAAACACCTTGGAAAATCCTGTTTATCTGCTTGCTGTCTGGCAGGGAACGTGGCAAGAGGATGCTGAGCTCCTGGGATGGGATGGGATGGGATGGGATGGGATGGGATGGGATGGGATGGGATGGGACAGTGTGTGGGGGTGAGCCCACTCTCAGTACTAAGGAAGCCTACCTGTTTTATGGAACAAAAAATGTCCTATTTGCCAAATCTTGTTCCTTGGTGAAGACTAAAATCAAATGGCTTTGAGGAAAGCTCATCAACGAACCAGAGTTAAAATATTTGCAACATCAGTGCAGCAATTCCAGGAGCCAGAGCAGGGGAAGCAGCTGCAGGCGAGGGGATGCTGCGTGTAGCCAGAGCCAGTGGGAAGATGTCCCTCCCTGGGGAGCTCCTGAGGATCAAAGCTGCTGCCACAAACACCTGCAGCTCCCACGAGGAGGCCACTGGGAGGCTGAGCTTCCATGTGGGACACTGCCAGCCCCATCTGTGCGGGGTGCTGGGAGCTGCTTCCACGGGGGATGCTCACAGGACAGCACCCAGGGGCATCTCCCCTTGGAACTGAGCTCCTGGACCTGCAGCCCCCCTGTCCTGGCTCCTCAGGAGGGTCTGAGCCCTGCAAGGTGCCAGGGAAAGGGGCTGTGTGCCCAAGGAAGTGGGAGGGAAAGGAGCTCTCGTGTCCCTGTGCCCACCCTGAGGCTCAGCAGCAGCTCCCAACCAAGCACCACCAAAGTGAAGCTGCCTCCTCTGTCTGAGACCCATCAAGGGATTCACACTTATCCCTTAATCCCAAATTCTGGAAGGGCAGCAGAGGGGTTTTACTTAGTTCTTGACACTGTGTTTCTAATGGAGAAATAAAAGAACATCAAGCCCCAAAAATGCTTTTCCCTTTCTGACAGTGATGTGTGGGACAAGGAGAGAGGGGCACTTCAGGCAGTGAGGAAAAAAGTCCATCTTTCCTTCCTGTTGCAGATATTCCTAGTTAACTTCAACAAAAATTATTTCATTTATATTCTCCCTTCCTCCAAATATCCCATGCTCATTACTTTTTTGGAAACTCTTATTCCAAAAAGCCAGCACAGAAGACAGCTCCCAGAGTGACCACCTGGCCCTGGGCCAAGAGGGTGACCCACGGCAGGTGAGCTCAGCCATCACCTCGGGATGGATGCCACCACCACAGGGCTCGTGCAGCCACCAGGCTCCTCGCTGGCGGCCTCAGCCAAAAAGCAAAGGCTGAGCTGACCCTGGTGGATGATACAGCCTCTCATCTACAGAATCTCCCAGCTAGGGAGCAATGGCAGGGGAGACCTGCCCATGTCACACCTGGACATCAGCACCAAGCCCGCCACGTGGGCAAAAACCAACAAATGAAACCCCCAAAGACAAAAACCCGGTGACCAACCCAAATCTGCCCACAGCGGCCGGACAAGGCCCACACAACCACATCAAGGGGGCAGAAAACCCAAGCAGAGAGAGAACCATCCATTACCAGAGTAACCTCCTGAGGACTTGATGTACATCTGCCCGTACTGCTCCTCCACCATGGTGTCGTAGGCCTCATCATCCTCCTCATCCTCCTCGTTGTGGTAGGAGGTGGGGCTGTCGGTGGTGGGGATGCTGCTGGCGCCGGGGCTGGTGCGCTCTCCCTGGGAGTACTGCACCTGCTGCACGTTGGGCAGCAGCGTGGCCAGGTTGGGCACGCCGTAGTAGGAGACGCGCGACAGCTTCAGGGGCCCCGCGCTGGTGCCGCCGCCGCCGCCGGGCCCGTCCCGAGCTCCAGGCTCCAGGGGCCGTTTGCCGGGCAGGCCGGGCAGGGCCTGCAGCTCCAGGTTCTCGTGTTTGACGCGCGTGAGGAGCGGGATGGGCATGGAGGGGGACATGACGTAGGGCGCCGAGGCCGACTGCAGCTGGTTGCAGGGGCTCTGCGGCTCCGAGCTGGGGTCTTCGATCATGGTGGTCTGAGAGTCACAGTGCGGGGAGCTGACCTTGAACATCAAGTCCGTGCCTTTCTCCACGATGTGCTGGATCTGCAGGAAGCCCGCCGTGTACATCACCACCAGCTGCTCGCTCGCCGCCATGGTCAGCTTGCCGGTGTAGCAGAAGGAGAGGATCTGCTGGAAGCAGGCGGGGGGGACGGTGCCCGGCAGCTCGAAGGCGTTTTTGCTGTTCCCACTGAACAAGTCTCGGAAGTAGAGGCTGCTGGCGGCCAGCACCGCCCGGTGAGCCTTGAAGGCTTGGCCCTTCACCACGATGGAGACATCGCAGTAGAGCCCCAGCAGGCGCTGCTCGTTCAGGCAGCCCAGCACGGTGTTCCCAAAGTTGGGAATCTCTATGTGCAACATCTGCGACATGGCTCAGGATCGGCCGGAGCTCCTCAGACATTCAATGCAGGAATATCCAAAGTAGGGCACATCTGAAAAACGGAGAAGGCAGGGGAGAGAGGAACAAGGTTTTTAGACAGTTCACCAAAGGCAGGCGGGAGCACAGGAACCCACCTCACCCGACATCAAAGGCTCCAAGGCGAGCTCCCAGAGCCAAGGCGGAAAAGCGATCGCTTGCAAAAATTACTTATCGATGGTTTAGAGCAGCGTTGGGAATGCCACTGGTGGATGGCAAAGGATATTTCAAAAAAAAAGCAAGTATTTCCTTCAAGTTGTGGTCTGTTTAAATAAGCACCACTGATTTATTCCCCCGGGGGTTTTTACTTTATGCAGGAAAATCTGAACGATAATGGGAGAGAACAGTAAAGCAAACGAAAGGCAGTCAGACAGATCTCGGTAGCATTATATAAGAAACACAACAACCAGCAGCTATGTTGAAACTACAGAAAAGATATTTATAAAACAATGTGCCATTCTGCCCGAAATAAATACAGGATTCTGCCGGAGCGAGAGCTCCCAGGAAAAAGCACTTTGAAAAGCAATCTTCCCATTTGCACCAGAAAGAGGGAGCGTTTCAACAGTTAAACCCCTTCTCAACAGATTTATCCTCCAACAAAACGAAGCTTATCTCCAAATTAAGCCAGATATTTGAGCCCCAATAAAACAAACCAACGTGCCTGCCGCAGCGAGCCGCCTACCAAGTTGTCTTCTTATTTTCCTCCCCCAGACGCCGAGCGGGGCAGGGGGAGCCCCAGCCCAGCCCCCGGCGCCCCCGGTACCGGCAGCGCGGACCCTCCGAGCCAGCCCGGGCTGGGGGCGGCTCCGCAGCCCGCCCCGGCCGCTCTCCGGGGCCAGCTGTACCTTTTGGCCATGGGCAGAATCCCTGCTCCCGGCTCCCAGAAGCAGAGGCTGGCGCTGGAAGGGCGCCGGGAGGTGCGCAGAGCCCGAGCAGGTAACGCTGGTGCAGCCTGGGCGCTGAAACTCCAGCGGAGCAAATCACTGCGGATGCACCGAGCCCAGACCCCCCCGTGCTCCCTCCCCAAACACTCCAGGAGATTTAAAATCCTGCAATAGCACTGAAGAAAAACTACCTTTAACTAATACTGAAAGCTCAGAAGAGCGATTTTTTTTTTTATTAAAAAAAAAAAAGGAGAAAAAAAATTAGAAGTTTATCTGAGAAAGATTAAAAAAAAATCTCTGGAAAGAAAATAATAACCCACAAAGAGCTGCTCTGTTCCCATTGCCGAGGGGAAAAAAAAAAAAAAAAGTCCTATCTGCAAGGCCACGGGGTAACAGGAAGAAAAGGGAACACACTCGGAGCCAATTTAATTGTATCTGCATGGTTAAAAAAAAAAAAAAAAAAAAAAAGGAAAAAAAAAAAAATCTTCCAAGCGAGGAAGTTCGCGGTGCCTTCGCCTGGCCGGGAGCGAACGTACCTTGAGCAGCGGCCGCTGCCGAGGGGCTCCGGCGCCCCGAGTGCCCGGGGGAGGGGGAAAATAAAATATAGTATCAAGAGCTAGGTTTGTATCTGCTGGAGCTCGAGCTTTTACCAAGTCAAATCTCCCCGGCAGCGCACAGCATCTAAATGAATAGGCCGGATGCAGATTAACATTCAGGCTGCTCTCTGCAATGAATAGAGCCCTTTGATTAGGGACCTGAAGTAAATGCCAGTTTCAAACCGAAGCTTTAAAAACAGAGAAATATCAGTGCCAGAGGAATGCTCTCAGTGTTGGTACAAGACAGACTTTTGATGAGTCACTGCAATGCAAACAAAGATGGCAGAAATACTGTACTGTATGCTGATGAAATGCTTAGTGGTGCCACGGCAACTGAGACAGGTTTTAAATTTATAGTGCAGTTTTGCATATGAATTACGCTGTAAACTGCCTCCCCTGCCATCTAGTACATCCAGAGTGTCAAAGCATTTAAACTATTCCAAACAGTCTGCAGAGCTGGCACTGCTGCTGGTTAACTCCTGCGGCCAGGGGAAGGCAGGGAGCAGGGCTGGTGAGCATCCCCTGCATCCCCCCAGCACCCTCCTGTACCCCCTGCATGCCCCCAGCATCCTCCTGCATCCTGAGCATCCCCTGCATCCCCCCAGCATCCTCCTGCATCACCCCTGCATGCACTCAGCATCCTCCCTGCACTACCCCCACATGCCCCCAGCATCCTCCTGCATCCCTCCAGCATCCTCTGCATCCCCTCAACAACCCCTGCATCCCCCCAGCATCCTCCCACCTGGCCCAGCATCCCACCCCGAGAGCTCCCCAAAAGCACCTGCCCAAAAGCACAGCTTAGGGAATGCCCAAATTAAAGGTGCTCCTTGGGCAGCCACAGTCCAGCTTCCTGTCCCCCCCCAGATCCCCCCCCCCCAATACAAGAAAGCCTTTCAAATGCAGGAAAAATGTTTACCCCTTGGGGAAAGCTTCTTTCAGTCTGTGGCTGAATCCACTAAAAGCAAATCCATTTGCTTAAGTAATGAAATCCCAGTCACATTGTCTCCTGGATTCAGATTTTAAATTACCTTCGCATTTATTGAGCATGTTTGGTGCTTTTTTCTGGGAAAGAGGGTGGGGCCTCCCTTTGCTTATTTCTCCCTTGCCCAGAGCGTTTTTCCTCGTGCCTTTGGCCTCGGGTTTGGTTCAATTGCTGCGCTCTGATGGTCACACACAGTTAAAATTCCAGGGATGAGAGGTGAGGCCATCCCCAGAGCAGGATAACTGCAGGGAGCACAGGGCTGGTGATGCTCCAGCCTGACCCTTCCCTCCTGATCCTGCTCACAGCTCCACTTCCACGTCCTGAGGGATGTTTGGTGCATGAGGTTCAAGCCCAGGGCAGGGAAGTGCTGCTCTCCCAGCAAAGCCCTGTGACATGGGTGCCCCAAATCCCACAGGACCTGCAGCCCCACGGAGCCTGGACAGCCCCACCGCTCCCATTCCCTGCCTTGGGAATGCTCCCCACACTCAGGAGGTCACTGGGGTCCCTGCCTGGTGCTGCTGAGAGGGGACCAAGGTGACATTCCACGAGGAGATCAGAGGTGACACCACAACGACCAAGCCTGAGAGCCCAAAACCTCTCCCAAGCACGACAGCACCCACCTCTGCTGGAGAAAGGATGGAATCCGCCCTGGCAAACAAAGATCCGCTCTGGATCTGTGAAAATTACTGAGAAATACCCGAGTTAAAGAGAAAACATCACTGCTCAGGCACCTAAGGAAGCCTCATCCTTCCATGAGGATGGGAAGAACACGGGTGGAGAAGGATTTCCTCCTCTTCTCTTCCAGGAAGGGCTCCCTCAGAGCTGGAGAAGACACCAGGGAGGCCTTGGATGGACCTCCTTGGACAGGATGTGTGGGACCAGCCAAGGACAGCTCGGTAGCACAGAACAAGCCAAACTTAAAATAAATATCAATTATTAATATTACTTAGAATTTGCTGTATAAACAAACAGGCTTGTCAAGAGCAACCCCTGTCTCTCCCTAAAAGCACCAAACTGGGCTGGTTTAGGGAATGTTTTAAGCCAGAGAGAAGCAACAAAGTGCCCCAGCATCCCAAATCTTTGGCAAACCTCAGATAAAACCTCCCAGGAGAGTTTGAACCAAGATGCTGCACACAATTGGTCCCTCCCAAAATGCAGCTCCCAGGGAAATGGAGGGGAAGTAACAGTGCTTGGTTTAGATAGAGCATCAAGGAACAGGAGCAAAGCCACACGAGGAAGCTGCAGAAGCCCAAACCACCCCAATAAACCATCAACCAGGACTGCTGGAATTTTCCCTTCTTCCTCCCTCTGCCCCTTTCCTTTTTATGACCAGAATACATTAAAAAAGCCTCCCAAAACCCAACCCAAAACCACCAACAACCCCAAATCGTGAAGAAATAAAATAAAACAGTCTTGAAAGCCCAGGAGAATCTGCTCACCACCAAACCTCACATTCCCTAAAAACAACAGCAACAAAAAAACTACTGGGATTAGACAGCAAATGCAATAAAGCTTGATAATTTCTAACTTTAAAATTCCTCTATTAAATATGATCATTTTTCTTTTAAATAGAGCACCAAGAGACTTTTGAAGGGTTTGAAATGGCTTCAGCCCATCTGACACAGGAAGAGCTGTGCTGCAGGAGAAATGACCTTTGCAATTACAGATGTAAACTGTATTTTTCCAATCTCATCTCCCAAGCTGAGCTGTGTCCCAAGGTGCAGGAGGAGCCCCCAGCATGACCATCACCCCAAAAAATCCAGTTCCCTTTGGCCTGGAGTGCCCTACAGGTGACAGACCATCAACAGGACATCTCCAAATGGGAAAACTTGGATAAAACTGGATTAAAACCAGACAAACATCCCCCACCTTGATCATTTTACAAATGTGACCATTCAAGCAAAACATCATTTTGTTTTCTGATGGCAGCCTCTTTCTCCAGGAGGATAATTTGTACATCTCTGCCTGATTTTTGTAAAGTCATAGCCTTTGTCACAAGATGTTCATAAAAAATGCAGCTGTTATTTGAGACAACTTCCAGGAGAGTTTGGGAATTCTCAGTTTCTGCATTCATCTGCTTCGGGGGAAAGAAAAAAGCAGGTTTGCTCTTTTCCAAACTAATTCCCTGCTCTGAGGCCTGAAAGGTCAGGGCGAGGCGACAGCAACAAAGGAAAAAAGCATCGACCTAGAATGAGATGCTGCCATCAGAGCTCCCCCAGGAGCAATCAGAAATAATTAGATAATGTATTTAAATTGGCTTTTTTTTCTTAGCCAAACAACAGAGAGACTGGGTGGAGAATCATTTCCCCAAAACCCCCCAGATATCCCCCAAGTCCTGCAGCTCCCCAGGAAGGTGAGCTGGGCAGCAGCTGGGACAGGGACAAAGGGACAGGGACCCTCTGGGGCTGGGAGACAAAGCAGCCAAAGGCTTCCACCCCCCCAGCCAAAGCCCCAGGAAAGAAAAGAGCTGAAAAGTCCTGCCCTTGAAGGCCCCAAAGGGTCAAAGGAAACTTCCCTTTCTTCTGTAAATGAGGGGAGAGGGGGGGAAAATCCCACCCTTGGATTTGAGGCTGGCAGGGGGTCCTCAAAGCCACCCAATCCCCCAGGCACAGGGGTGGCACCTGCCCTGCTCTCATTGCAGGGTTTGGGGGTTATTTCCCCATTTTTTAATGCAAAGAAAATGTAAAAACCCAAGAAAAAATATGCAACAGCTCACTGCAAACTCAGTGGCCAAGTGTCATTCCCCGAG